TTGAAGTTGTGACTCTTGACTTTACCTGTTAAATGTTTACCAAGTGCCCAGACATGCTCTCTGCAACCCACTGTGCTGGGTCTGGATACTAATTTACAAAAGAACGGAGGGCCACTTGAGCAGGGGTAAGGACAAGGCCCAAGGAACACAGAATGAGGAGAGGCTCAAGGCAGAGGATGAAACAAGCTCTGAGCTTCCAGTGTGAAAGACAGGCCCTTTCTAGCATGCATAGCTCTTTTCTCCCCAAGGCAGGGAATGCATTTGGCTGCATGCCCCAAGAAACTCAACTGTGGCATCTCACTCATTTTTCTCATTTCTCAGGGCACAATGAGTCCAGAGGTCTGCAATTGTTCAAGGATGCCACCTGAGGTCTGGTTCCTACTCCACCATCCCCATAGTCACAAGATGGCTGCTCTGCCCTAGACATTATGCCCACATTCCAGGCAGGAGAAAAAGGTAAGAGCAAATGGCAGAAGGTATGGCCAGTGAGGTCTGTTCTCTTCATCAAGAAAAAAAAAACAACAACAGCTTTCTCACATATATAACAGAATAATATAGGTAGATTCTGCTGACCAGAGAAAGGCCATATTGCCACTTTGGTTTAAGAGTTTACTGAAGGTCTGAGTATTTTAAACAGGTCTCAGTGTGGGCCAAATGGATGAGGAGAGAAGAGGTTTTGTTAGTGAGGAAGAGGGAGAGAATGGGTATCGGGCAGGCAACTCACAGTGTCCAGTGATGCTCAGCACACGTAGTTGGTTTGTCATTTGTGCCATTTATTTAAACACTCAGAGTAGCTCCTGCCTGTCTTGAGTTGATGGAGGGGACTCAGAAACATTGCACTGTCAGCATTTTCTGGCTCATTCATGACTTCATTTGACAATGCTGGCGGCACACCCACCACCCCACAATGCAGGCATGGTACTGGGTGATGGGTACCCAGTCAGATTTGCTCAGCATCTGGTCCACACATCTTGTGATGCCTTCCACCCTGCAAGAGTTACCCGTCTTCACAGAGGAGGATACAGAGGCTATTTTCAACATACTTGTGAAGATAAGATAGCGGTACATCTGGCCACATTAGTTACATCATGGTGAGTTCTTATATACCCATTCCAGACTCCTGCATGCATCTGGTTCCTTCTCCACCATCCCTTCCTGTTTGCCTTGGTACTCAAATGAGTCAATCATCTGACAATGCATTACATGTCACTCTGCTTCAGGGAAGGTACAGGGAGGCCAGAAAAACCTCATGTGGCAGACATTGACACTTGCCTCCTTGCCACACATTTCTCCTTTCTTTCTTCCTAAGGCTCCCAATTTTGCTCCAGGTAGCAATATACTCATCTACCAGGTGATGGGCATAATAGGTCTAAGTCAGACCATGCAGTTCTCTGCTTCCCAGCCTCCCTACCTCTTTCCTCGGGGAGTGGTCTATGACCTAATTGTCCCCAGTGAGAACTTCTGCAAGGGTTCTGAGAAAGTGTGTACTTTCCTTATACAGGGAAGAGGTGCAGATGGTGCTACTGCTCCTTCCTTTTTCTTGCTTGCTACAAACTCAAATGCAATGCCCGGAGCCACAGCAGCCAGTTTGCAACAATGAGGTAACACACTGACAAACTTTTACTAAGATGGTAGGATGATAAGAATAAACATTAGGCATGAGATTGGTGCTATTGATCTGGTCATCCTTTGACTACCTATTTCTTCATGGTTATGTGAGAAAAATTAACCTCCATTCAAGATTCTGGTAATTGCGATTTATCCTAATGTTGGCTCAGAACATTCTAAATGTTAAACCAGAGTGACAGGATTGCTGCCCTCATGAGCCTTACAATTTAAGTAAGAGAGAAAATATAAATTTAGATAATATACATTCTCTAATAAGGAAGCAGAGAATGGTTAAAGGCACAAGATGGTCATGAACTGACCTGGATATGGGAGAGGGAAGGCTTTTCTGAGGTAGTCGCATTAAATGAAGTCACCAGAAACAAAGCTCTTCTTTTGGTATTATCTGAATTCATGGGATAATTTTCAGATCCCCCTCCTCTAACCCAGAAGACAGCATTTTCACTCACAAGTGGCCCTCTTCTCCAGGAGCAAAGAGAGATATGACCCACATGTTCTGGGTTCCCACTAAGCCACCCCTTACTCTCCCATCCTTGGGGGATTTTGCTTTGAAGGGGGGCTGGGTTTTCGCAGAACTCTACCCGCCACGAGAGAGCGATGCAGGTCAGTGCATCAGCTGCAGCCTTGAGCCCGGCTGACCATTTATTATTAACAAAGCTGAGAAAAAGACACCAGGTTAGCTTCTACCCCATGCTAAACTATGGTGTGGAGAACACTTCCTTGAAGCCAAAGGAAAAGGGCTTAATAATCCTATTTTAGATACGACCATGCACCCGTGATCATGGCCATCAGTGAACGATCCTGGAGACGAATCTACAGAGTAAGAGTGTATGCAGTGACACCTGAGTACTCGCCAGAGAGGACACAGACCAGAACCATGAGGCGGAGTGGATCCAGGAATTACACAACAGCTAAACAAATGCCCCGTGTGCCACATGGAGCGCTCAGCCGCCATTCAAAAGGTTCTCAATTCCATAGTATTTGTTACCCTATTGGGGAAAACTATTTTAAGCCTAATTAGCATGAAATTTTTCAAATGCAAATGCTTTTCATTTAGACATAAAACAAAATGCCACGACATTTCTTCCATCCATTTATCATAAACAAGTTAATTACTGTGTAACAAATCTCTCCTTCTGGAATGTGGATGTTCAGGGCTGCTGGTGAGCTGACTGGGGCAGAGAGAAGGAGCCTCGAGGCAGTTGTTAACGGCTTACGGTGCATTTAGAATAAAATGGTGACTCCGTGAAGCTTCACTTGTCAAATTAAGGTTAAGCTCTCTCCATTGGAATAACTCAATTATAAGTAGTCATTATCTGTTTAGCGTGATTCCTACCAGGATAACAGAAATATTGTGCCACTTATATTCGACACATGCATCTTCACTATGGTCTCATTGTTTGCAAAGTTTTTTATGTAAATAAAGTTTTATCTGCCCTAGCTCGAATGTATGCAGTGATAGCTTTTGCCTCCACGTGTGTAAAATTATTTCGAAGATATAAAACCTCTCTGTCCCTGAGCACAGAGAGGAGGTGGCACTCACAGGTGAAGGAGATGCTCTGTGATTTTTCAGGGTTGGGTTGGGACACTCATCTCAGGGGTATGTGTTTGGACTATGAGTTGTGTATCCACGAATCCCATGAGTTGGTCCAAGTTCATCTACCATGATGGACTCCTGGGGAATACGGGGCAGACCAGCATCCAGCCAGCAAACAAGGCTTCCCTACCATGGGGGCCAAGGGCAGAGGGTCAAGTCAGCCTGGACCTGCGCAGTCCACCAAGAGAGAGGAATGATGCTAGCTGGAAATCTCACATTTTACTATGAAAAGCATGAGAATGTGTCATTCTCTTACGTGGCAGGTGGTAGCACCTGCTGTTACAGAGACAGAGGCATTTTTTCTTACATTCCTGAGTAAAACTGATACTGCAGGATCTTATCAAGCTTAGCTCCATATAGGGGAGGTGGCAAGTATGCCAGCCTCCAGACACGCAAACAGCAAGACCACAGTGAACTGCTCCTGTTTTGCCTGCAGTACAATGCACCGTGTGGGAGAATCTTCTGGGCCTTCTCCGTGCACACATAGGGATTCTCATAAACCCACAGATCCTGAAAGGCGGTCCACACTTTCTAAAATGACATGCGCCGTGCAATTAACAGAGCATCTCTTGAAAACTCTTCCCATAGACGCCTACTCCTGCAGCATACCCATCCTGCTTCTAGGCCCACAGCCAAGAGGCTGGGTTTTTTTGTTTGTTTCTTTTATTTTTTGTTGTTTGATAATCAATGAAAGAAGCAATAGTATCACATCCCCTATTTTGACAGTCAACTCAGATGACAACAAATAAGTTAGCAAAGTTGGACTGAGTGCAAAATAAGATCCTGATTCATATAACCAGGCACACCCTGTAAGTCAACGAGCTGTCCCCACAGAGAGGATCTGAAGAATTCCCCTGCTCTGTGAGAGTCCGTCCCAACAAAGGATCTGCTGTCAGTGCTGGGGGGTGGGGGTGGGCAGAAACTTTGTTTTCCCTGAAATGGAAAATTGGGGACAAAGTCAGCAGCCTGAGTGTGGTTTAGCCATGGATACTGAAACTCAGCTTTGATGCTTCTGCTAAAGTTTATTCCCTCTATCACTTTGAAACTGGCTGAAATCTGCTTCTGGGAAACTGACACAGGGAGGGGAGGCACAGGGTCAAGGTATTCGCTGTGCCAGCTTTAAAACCTCAAGGAAGAAATAATTGATTTATTTCCCCTCCCATGTGAATAAAAAGTTTAACTAGTTTGTCTTGAGAGGGAAGCAGATTGCTATGCAGGAGGATCTACTGTCACTGGAGTTCAGAAGCTGCCTCTGACTTCCCCATCACAAGTGTGGGTATCGCCCTGCAGTGACAATGAAGCTAACTGGCAGCTCCCTCCTGCATGTGTGTTTCCGTGTTGTCAGTGGGACAGTAATGAGAACGCATGAAACGTCTGTGAACAGAACGTCTGTGGGCTTATTTACCGCATCCCCAACAACATCGTCTGCTTTATCATGCATTGCAAAGCAGGGATAATTTAAGAACCCAGAATTTCATACACAAAAATACTTGGTAAGAAAGTCTCTCTCTGCACATTATTTGGGTGACACTATATCTGAATTCCAATTTGTTGCCCAGGAAATGATTCACCTCACTCAAAAATGACAGGGACTCTGAATCATTCACCTGTGACGCAAAAGGCCATTTAGGTCGACTGATCTGCACGTCCACCGACCTCACCACCTTTGCTTCGCATAGAGCCTGGCTCAAAGCCAGTCCTGCCTCTTGTTCTGCAGGGGGCAATGTCTCCCTAGTCCAGAGTGCGGTATGCGAATTCATTTCCACGTCCACCTTACCTTTGAGGACCTTCTCTCCTTCCAGAATATTCTGGGAGATTAATGCTGTGTAATCTTCTTCAGAGAATCCAGCCTTGCAGGTCTCCCTGGCTGTAAGATCCCCATTGTGGGCCTGAGAATGGACATAAGTGAGGTTAGAAAAAACTCAGGTCCATAGAAACTGCACCCAACCCAAGTTTAGTAGGGCCTGCTACGTTCAAGGGCTCCATTATGACAAGCCTTGGTCCACCAGAGCCTCCACTCAGACATAACCCAAGGTCTGCCCCTGTGGTCACCATGTTAGCCAGCGACAGGGGCATGCAACAGGGAGGCCAGGCTGGTGGATAGCAGGGTGGAGGGTCTGATGGAGCCTCACCAGCATGTGGCAGAAGGGAAGGTCTGAGAACTGTACATTATAGGGAGGCAAGAGAGCCAGGAGTTAGCCAATGAAGACATGGAGGAGGGGAGGCCAAGGGAGCAGGCCTTTGCCAGGGCCATGTCCCCTCCCACCCCAGTGCTCAGGCTTAGGGTGAGGTGGAGCGGGCTGTCTCTTCCCTGTGGTGCCGCAGAGGAGGGAGAGGGGCAGGGCTGAAAGCAGATTCTGAGACTCAGCTCTGAGTTTGGCTCTCAGGGAGGCTGCAGGGAGGTGGGGGAGGTTTCTACCATCCAGTCCTCTCCCCCCACTTCCTGGAGGCTTGTCCACTCTTGGAGCCCCCATCATCAGCCTAACCAGGCTAGAGAGCTCCCGTAATTGACCAAGAAAAGGTGGGAGTCCTCTTGTCCTGTCCCCCCACCCCAGCACTCTGGCGTATCCTGCCCAATGGGAGGTCTAGAACCCAGGGCGCCTGGAAGGCAGGGTGGGAGAAGGGCCCCTCCCAGGCTGCGGGGAGTGGCAGCGAGGTCAGCCGTAGGGATGGGGAATGGAGGGAGAGACTGCGTGTGCAACGGGGAAGCCAGCCCTGCGACAGAAGGAGCGCCACAGCGCCGGCTCCCTGGAGCGCGAGGAGCAGGGGCGCAGCCCGCACCCACCCCACAGTCGCGCCTTCGCGGGGCCGCCGAGCGGAACGCGCCTCCCCGCCGCCCGCCTCCTCCAGCTCGGCGCGCAGCCGCCCGCCAGTCTTTGGCTCTGGAGGTCGCCCGGAGCCGGTGCTCCAGGCACCCTGACGCGGGCCTGGACCCGGCGTCCCCACGGAAAATCACCGAGGGGAGGAAGAGCAGGGCGCGGGGTCACTCCTCGCGTAAAGCTCCAAACGGCGGCCCCGTGCCTGGCAAGCGAGGTCCAAATAGGACCGAAAGAAGGGACGGCGGACGGGGGGACGCTAACTCGCCCAGGAAAGTTTCCACCCGCCCGAGCGAGCGTGGGTCGAGTGCACCCGAGCGCCCAGAACCTCAGAGCGGGCCTCCGGCCTCGGGCACTTGTTTATTTCCGAGGTTACAACAGCGCGGCCCGGGAGGAGCAGCGAGGCGGATCGGCCACGAGAGGGGGTTCCTGCAACTCTCGCGGCCCCGCTGCCTTCCCCGAGCGGCGCCCCCCCGGCCCTGCACCCAGCGGACGCGGAGCTGGGCTGGGGACAGAGCTCGCGGGCTCCGCAGGAGGAAGGCGGGCGCGGGGACCGCGCTCCCGGTACACCTCACCCTGCTCCTGCCTGGCCCCTGGCTCCTCGACTCCGCTCCGAGCAGCGAGGGCCCCGCCGGATACTGGTCGCGGCCGGGAGTCCGGGGCGAGGGTGCCCCATGGTCCACATCCGTTGCCCACCCGCATCGATGGTCCCTGCCAGCGGTCAGAGGACGAGGACAGGGAAGGCGCCGCGTCTCGAGCACGCAGTCCCCAGCAGGGGCGGCCAGACCGGGTGTCCTCAGCACACTGATGTCCGGCCGGCTGCCGCCAGCCCCCCTCGTCCGCAGCCCCGGCTCGGGCTGGGCTCGCCAACTCCGGAGGAGCGCGGCGAGCCGGCGATGGAGGGCGCGCCGGCTCCGCCAGCGAGCAGCCTGCCCCGGCGCGGGCGAGTCGAGCTCCGGGGCAGCGGCCGCGGACCTGGGGTAGCGGAGGGATGCCCGGCGGGTCCCGATTCAGGCAGAGCTCTCTGCGTCCCCCGCTCACCCATACTCCCACCTCGCTCCGCACCACCGCTCCCCGCTGCACCCGCGGCTCCGCGCTCCTGCCGACCGCAGGCGGCTTCGCGGAGCGCGGGAGCCGGCAGGATGCAGCGGTGCGCGCGGCAGGGGCGCCCGGTGCGGGCCGGGGAAGCCCGGGAGAGCCCCGCCGGGCGAGTGTGAGCCCCGCCGGCTCCGGGAGCGGCCCCGCACTGCCTGGGCTTCCGGACGGCCGGGACGGGAGGCGGCAACTTACCCGGAGCGCGCCGGAGAGCGAGAGCAGCACGAGGAGCACGCCCGAGCCCGCGGTCATCTTCCCCGCCGCGCCGCGCCCCAGCGCCCGCCCGATGCCCGGCGCCCGGAGCCCGCTCCCCGCAGCCGTCCGGATCGCGCTGCTCTGATCGCCGCCGCCGCCGCTCGAGCGGGCCCGGCACCTCCGGCCAGGCTGCGCCGCCACGACCGCCGCCCGACTCCGGGAGCGAGGCCAAGTCCAGCGGGCGGCGCGCTCCCTCGGGCCAGTGCGTCCGCCGGCCTCGCAGCCGCCCGCGCCTCTGTTCCGCGCGCTAGGAACTGCAGGTGAAGCCGCGCGGCAGCCCCGCCGAGGCCCCGCCCCGTCGCCCGGCCCCTGCGCTCGCTCGCTCGGCCTGACGCGGGCCTTAAAGGCGCCGCGCCCCCAGCGCCTCACCCGCGCGCCTCGCGAGCTCGCCCCAGCCGCCTGCCCCAAGGTACCACCTAGCTGGGACCGTGCATCAGGAGCCCCGGTCAGCGCATTAGGAGCCCCGGTCAGCCGAAGGGGCCGAGAACATAAAGTCTACAGGGAAAAAGGTGGGGGCGGGGGAGGCTGTGGAGGTCTGAACTAGGCAGGGTCGTCACAGCTCCCAAACCAAGGGAACGCTTTCTGGACTGCACCGGGAGCCTCTGCTGCCTTCATCCAGTTTGAGGCCTGAGCCACAGGGTGCTGGGAACGCCCATCATTCTTGTACAGTTCGGATGTCTTCTTGCTAACTCAGACCCACTTCCTGACTTTGCAAAGCCTTTGGCCTCTCAGGAGTTAGCCTTGAGACCCAAGTGGATTTGAAAACCACAGAGGGAGGGGTTCCAGGCTGCATAGACCACCAGGGTGAGGAAAAGCTCCAGGTCCAGGCCCTGGCTGTGATACACCCATCAGGACCAAGGAAGGGGCCTGTGTGTGTATGAAAATACCTGGTTAGGCCTAAGAAGCCAAGAAAGACATTGAAGGACTTGAGAAGGTAAGGCGGAAATTCCCGCACAGAAGAGCTGTCAGGACCATCAGGCTTGGGTGATTTCTGAACTGAGGGGACCTTTCTTTAAGAGCTCATCAAATGAACAACAGGTACAGCTTGAAAAGTTAGTAAATGTTTCTGCACATTCCCTTTCGATTTGGAGATTTTAAGAAAAGTGGTTTTGTTTGCTCAGATATTGCAAATGTTCTTTGTCTTGGTTTGGAGGGCTCTGTGTCCAGAATACATTAGTTCTGGTATGAGAAATACACTGCCAAGGAGGGGGAAGAAGATGGAGTGAACTGTTGGGGCTTCCTTGATGGTTCAGGGGGTAAAGAATCTGCTTGCAATGTGGGAGACCTGGGTTTGATCCCTGGGTTAGGAAGATCCCCAGGAGGAGAGCATGGCTACCCTCTCCAGTAATCTTTCCTGGAGAATCCCCATGGACAGAGGAGCCTGGCAGGCTGCAATTCATGGGGTCGCAGAGTTGGACACGACTGAACAACTAAGCAGAGCACACAATTGAGCTCCAAGATCAGAGCCGACTTGGGCAGGAGAGCGGTTGCACAGCTCTCCCCCTTTCCTGGACCCTGGCACCTGGGTTGGGCAGCCTGCTAGTTAGCTTGCTGCTTTAAACTACAGGAAGTCAGATTCTAGACAACTTGAGAGGGACAGGCAAGTTCTATATCTGAGAGCACAGGTCAACTGTGGCTTCTTACCCAGGACCCATGTGGCAGTTAAAGGGGACACCACATCAGTACTGGCCTGCCATACCTGGCCCGAGTCGACTCTGTCCCCAGCCTCTTGGGACAGGAGCAGGTTACCTGTGGGTGTGCCGAGTGTGCCCAACTCATCTTTATGCTCAGACTCAGCACAAATCCTTTATTGCCAGTGAGGTTTCATGGACAGATCCACCCCCAGCCCTGTGCTCACACCTCTCAAAGACCCCTCCGATTCCCCCCTTACTCAGGGTGCCTCATCACTACAGGTGGTTCACAGAGGCCAGCTGTGGCCCTCGCTATTGATCTGAAATGTCTATCCCTAGGACCCGCCTTTGTCTTCAGAAGGTCTGAGTGTGATGGAGATCGTTCTCAGAAAAGGGGTCCAGAACCCAGCACTTGCTCTGCTGTGCTTCCCGAAATTGCTCAGTGCCAACACGAGTGCCAACTTGAATTAAAAAAGAAAATGATGTTGGCAGGGGTTGGGGGGGGTGGTCCTGAGGCCCAAACACTAGAGGAAACACCTCCCCATCTCCTACTGCCGAGTATTTCAGTCTTGAGTTTGCTGAAGGGTGTGATGACTCGTAGACCCAGCAGGTCCTTCCTGCCTCTAACCAGCCTTGGGGGAGGCACACATCAGGGAGCTCTGTGTGGATTAACTCACAGAACCATCCTGACTCCAGTGTGGGGTCTGCTGTCATCCCTGCTGGTTGTTCCCCCAGGCAGGGGGAGGTGGGATGAGGCCAGACGGAGGCTGCAGGACCCAATGTTCTCATACCAGCCCTGCATACCTGGCCTAGGCAGCATTTTTCCCCCAGACTCATTTGCTGGAGGAGCCCTGATACACAACATATGATGTCTTATGGGAACTCACATGTTCAGGAATATGGTTTCAGAAACACTGCAGTAGCTGAAGCAGGTCCAGCAGAGAGCATTGGTTTATCAGACTTGCTGTGAGCGAAGCAGAGAGGATCCACTGAGAGGGAGGAAAAGGTGGTCTGAAGCACAGGGCAATGAATTCCATGTGACAATCCTCGAACCAGCAGCACCAACTCCCTATGGGGGCTTGTGGGAATTACAAGCCCTTGAGCCACACCCCAGACCATCGAGTGGGAATCTGCCGGGTAACCAAACTTCCCTTCACCCCTCCTGTCCTCAGATGATCTGGTTCAGCATCCTAGCAAGGCTCATGAAAAATGTTGATTCCTAGGCTCCACCTAGGGCTTCCCTGGCTGCTCAGTCGGTAAAGAATGTGCCTGCAGTACAGAAGACCTGGGTTTGATCCCGTGAGTCGGGAAGATCCACTAGAGAAGGAAATGGCAAGCCACTCCAGCATTCTTGCCTAGAGAATCCTAGGGACAGAGGAGCCTTGTGGGCTACAGACCGCGTGGTTGCAAGAGTTGGACACGACTTAGCAGGTAAACCACCACCAGGCTCCACCTGAGACTGATGACTTGGAACTTTGGGGAATGGGGCCTGGGGCCTGGCCTTTTTTTTTTTTTTTTGAATGTGCTGGGTCTTCATTGCTCCGCAGGTTTTCTCTAGTTGCGGCGAGCAGGGGCTACCCTCTAGGTGTGGCGCTAGGGCTTCTCATTGCAGTGGCTTCTCACTTGTTGCAGAGCACAGGCTCTAAGGCATGCGGGCTTCAGTAGTAGTAGTAGGTGCATGGGCTTAGTTTCTGCCCCATGTGGGATCTTCCCGGACCAGGGATTGAAGCCATGTCCCCTGCCCTGGCAGCCAAATTCTTAACCACTGGACCACCGGGATGGGGACCTGGCCTTTTAACAGCCTCTTGGATTACTGTTCTTGAGCCCTAGTGTTTAGAAACCCTCATGCATCCCACGCGCCATATGCATATCCTGGAAGCTTGTATAAATGCTCCATCCTGGACCACACGCTGGACCTACTGAATCTGGGTGTCACAGGACAGAGCGGGGTGCAGGGGACAGGGCAGCGGGGAGGTTGGAGACACGGCCTGCCCTGAGGGGGAACTCCAGCCAGCCCCGCTCTGGCCAGCTGCCTGAGCCCACCTGGAGGAGGAGCTATGCCTTCAGGCTTCTGGGTAAAGAACCCTGGAGAAGAGTGTGCTTTTGTTTATAAGAGAGATTACAAGAATTCCCTGGGGAGGGTAGCTTGTGAGTGATGGTCCCCTCTCGACTGGGGTGCGGCTGTGGATGTTTGCGGAGACGCCTCTCTCCTACTTGTTGTTGCTTGGAGAAAGGTCAGCTTTGGAAGCCAATTGAATGCTCGCATGGGGACCGTTTCCCTGTCTTGTCGTCTGATGTTAATTTGTTTTTCCTCCATTTATCCTTACAGACACTTCAGTGTTAGACAAAAAGCTGTTTTGTAAAGAAAGCAGGGAGAAGTTAGCAAAAGGTGGGTCCTCAGAATAAAGCAGGATCTTTGCGGAGGACTGAAGATGTTTGGGCACTACAGAAACGAGTGCGATCAGCCTGCCACCTGCTCGAGGAAATCTCCCCGCATGCAAGCCAGACCGATTGTAAAGCAAAAAGCAAGAGACAGACAGGCCAGCACAAGGAACCTCCACTTTCAAGTCCACGGAGGTTAACCCTGGAGACTGCTGACTGGGAAGAAAGAGGAAGGCCCTGGTTATTACTGCTTTTGTTTTCACTGATGTCATCTCTCTCCCTTAATGTGTGTTGATATTCAGGGTGGGCCAGGTGGCCCGCATGGGGGCTTTTGAACTTTATCTCCTGTAAGCCTCACGAATGGAGGAAGTGGTCTTTCCCACTTGTCACAGATGTGGGCAAGCCTGTCCATGGTCACCAATGGGGGTGGGGGTGGGGTGGCCCGGCTGCAGTTATGTTCCAGGCAGTGGACAGAAGTCAGTGAGGCGACCTGGGCGGTTCTTGGGGCAGGAACCCCAGGAGGAAAGGTGCACAGGTGCCTTTGTCCCTTTCCAGCCTCACCCATCTTCTTCCTTTTTCCAGCCTTGGGCTCAGTCATGCCAACCCTGCCACCCCCCACCCCCCCGCCTGCCCCCTCCCCCCCAGCAACCAGATCTCCCACCAGGAACTCAGGCATCCTTCCAAGCTCCTGGGCCTGTGTCCCCACCACGCCCTCTGTCTGGACCCCATCAGCCTTTGTATGGGAGGTGATCCCCCTCTCTCTCTCAATCAGCCTTTCTTCAAGGGAGAGGGGCTGACTTTGGCTTTCCTCTGACTTCGTACACACTTCACGCTGTCTCACTGTCATGAAGCTGTTTTCTGTGTGAATCCCCACTCACAGGGCACTCTGACAGCCTGAGGGCAAGGGCCCAGTGTAGTCACCCCTCCCCGTGTCACCCAGGGTCCTGTCTCCAGGGCCTGGATGAATGAAGTAGTGATGACAAT